CGTAATGACGTGCTTTGGGCAACGTCGACTGTTTACCATTCGGTCTACAGGATCAGGCATGTAGTTTCCAGCAGCCACGACAAGAGGGTTCTCATGTCGTGCTGCCTTCTCAAAGTGGCACAAACGTTTAATAAATATTCCACGGCTTAGTAGTAGCGGGAAACAACAAACACGTCAATGTGCAAGCAAATCATTAAAGGCGTTTTTTTTTTAAAAGAGCACAATTTTTTTATTATTATTTTCTGTGTAGGCAGACGAATATACGCCCCATCTGATGGTGAGGGGTTACCGTCGCTCATGGACGTCAGCAATGCCAGGGGCAAAGCCAAGCCGCTGCCTACCGTTTTTAACCATTAAAATATTTACTTAAATCGTTTACTTCAATTTTATTTCTAGACAGAGCAAAGACAGTTTTTTTTTATTTTATTAGGTAAATTAACTCGAATTTTCTCCAACAAGACCCTCCCAACAACAAACAAAAAAATCGTAGTTCTTAATTCAAAAAAAACGGCACCAGAAATATTTTTTACAAACAATCCTTTCTCACGAAACATTGCTACCGGTACAACATAGAGAATTAAATAAAAATCGAAGTTTAATTCCCCGTTAATAAGTGGGTAAACACAAAAAAAAGCATTTAAGATCATTCACATGAAACGTCATTATGGATCGGACATTGTCTATGTGCATTACTTAATTCGTGCAAACACACACACACAATTCCATGACTCCAATGTATAAGGGGAATTCAATATATTAATGGAATTTTTTTATTTTAAATAACAATCAATGGGGCAGACATGCTATTTTCAAACAGAGCGATAATTTCATTCTTGAAAACATTAGTAAATAATTTTTTTTAAAGGGACGGTTTGTTCTTACAGTGCAAACGTTATTATACACATTAGAAAGTGTATATATGTGTTTAATACGTGTGACGTCACAGGTTGCATATAATGGATAATTGATTTAGAGCATTTATAAACATTTTGAATTTATGATTTATCTTTTTTGAATTACCGTTGTAGGTTTTACATATATAGAGCTCGCCTAGTACTAAGTAATCATCAAGTTCGACCACGGACATCAGCAAGGACAAAGTTACGGCCAGGCCGATCTCTACTGCCAACTATGTATAAATTGAAATGGAAATATTTTAATAGATTTTCTGAATGATATCGATAAACATGAGCGACAATAACTACTTAGGACCATGTTGGTCACAAATTCATCTGCATCCGATGGCTATATAAAGCTTTACGCTTAAAAGCAACCATCGGCTTTATAATAGTTTTAATTGAGAGAAAGAGAATTTCCAAACAAACAATAACTTTTACCAAAAATGTTTTTAATATTAATTGGAGCATAGCTCTCGCAAAAACAGTCGCGTAAACAAATCAATCGACGCGAATAATTCGAATTAAAGGACAGTTTACATTTGTATGAATACAATATTATGTTCGGGCGTGATTTTTTTTACGTCCGGACCACTCGGGTTTTTTCACACGTGGCCTCACATCAGCGCGAGTTATTTACGTGTTTATTACGAAAGGATGAATTACGGAAACGTGATATGAAAAAAGTTTCAAATTTGTAATGCAATTCGATTTTTACAGTATTGAGGTTATATTATAATTAAAAAAAGTTTTTTTAAACAACCAGCACTTTCAAGTAACAGTGACAATTTCAAATCGTCTGCCATTATTTTTTTTGAGTTTTGACGTTTAATGGTTTTGAGACTTTTATGAAATTATAATCTGTATGGATAGACTGGCATATCGTAGTGTTGATGGCAACTTCGATATCACTTTGGAAGCATTTTGTCCATGAAGTTTTTGATTCAGTAAATTAGACTGTACGGTATCTAAATAATTGGAAAAATGTTTTTATTTATTCATTTCAAAGATCGAGATCTAATTGGCTCGACTCATTGACTCTTTCTAACATTCCAACGAACGTCTTGTTAAACATTTCCGTTTCATTTGATACAAAAGTTCAACCCTTTAGTTGTACTGCTAGAAAATTTTCCATTTCTTGCTTATTTTCTTTTAACTTTTAATAAACTTATACTTGTTATTATTCGATTGAGTGATTCAGATTGTTAACTTTATTATTTATTAGCGCCGTAGTCATTTCTATTGAAATTGAAAAAACATACAAGTTTTTAATTAAAAAAAAACAGAAACGTCAAACGAAATGTCAACCGCAAATCATAGACTAAAACACGATTTCGAAAAAAAAAAAGAAGGAAGGAACGTGGCGCGCTTTCTCGGTCCATCGGGCATTCCGTCATATGCCATTCACGGCGGCGGAGAGACCACCGCGCAGCTGGTGTCCGGTTACCGTCTATCGTCTTACCGCGCCTTCCTGTCTCTTACGTGCGTCTGTCCTGCTGTCACCCGAGTGACAGTTGGTGGCCAGCTCGAGCACTTGCTTTTCCTGTCTATGGCCGTTAGACTATTAGGTAATGCGACGTTAATCGGAAATTTACGTCACAACATAAAATAATGGTCCACTTTTCTCTGGCTTTCACGAAACAAAATTAAAATATTGCTATAGACATAATTAAAACTATGTACTTCTACATTTGTTCCCGCGTTTTTTATTATCATTATTTCTGACATTTGGAATATTTTACAGTTTTCGCGGTAGTTTGAATTAGGGCCGCTTTTTTCGGTAAATTATTATCACTTAACTGGATTTCCAGAATTTTATCGAACTATGCTGAAAGCCCACTGTTATGCAAATCAACATACTATCAATCCATTGCTAAACGGCCGTCAACCGTAACACTTAAATTTTTATTAAAAAGAATTGAGCGGTAATAGGTTATTTAGGTTCAATCACAAATTTCACTGGTCTACCATCAGTTGCGTGGATCCCGCCGGTCTGCCCATTTCTGCTGCGAAGCAACAACGTGTTCTGGTTTGAGGCTGGGGCAGCTTGAAGACTTAGCCTCACGTCTCAACGTGGATAGCAGCCCTCACATTGTGATATCTACAGTGCTACGGCAATGCAATGCTAAACGGGCCGACATTTCGTTCTCCAATCTATGCAATAAAAATAACATATCTATTTTAAAAAAAATAGCAAACCGCATGAACAATGAATTTCATTTTTTTAACCTATTGATACTTGTCAAGATATTAGAGTAAATTTATAAAATATACTGTATTCTTAACGGTCCTAGATGCGTGTGCAAACTTTCAAGTTAAACGTCTTGGAATCAGCGAAAATGACGTTCAAAGATACCATAATATACAAACAAACGTAACTTAAAACATACCATGCTATGCATACTTTATGAATACAAAACTTGTTTGTAAGGCAAACACATGTTAATATGGTCAATGTTTCACACATCGATATTTGTAAAACACGTCCTTACGGATCCATCAGATCCAATAACCTTTGCATTAGACGCCTTCAGCTCTAACACTAGGAGCAGGCTTAGGGACCTCGGTAACTGTACTCGTCGAACTCGACCAAGAGGTCGACGTGCAACCTAACCCATGCATCAGCCCGCTGAGTTTCTCGCCGGATCTTCTTAGCGGGTCGCGATTCCGATCCGGTAGTAGATTCATTCACGAAGCAGTTGCTCTTGAGTTGTTAGGTCTCCTATGGAGGCGCTCGGGCAGCTGTTAGCAAGTCCCAACCCTACTGGCTGAGGCTTTGCTCATCACCTGTCCTCGTGAAACTGGAAAGGCCTCCGGGCCACCAGTAACCCTTCATTCATAAAAAAAAAGATTTTTGTAAACTCTCGCATCGCTCTAGCGAGTAAAGTACCTTATGAACAACCAAAAAAAAATCTTAAAGAAAATATATTATTCCGACAAAAACAAAAAAAATCTTAAACACGCCGCGTATAATTAATTCCGTTACGAAAAAATTAAATAATTCCATCGAAGCCTCGTTCTGATCTCGTCGGAAAGGAGAACTTTGTAATTTTAATCAATTCATTGTACGCCCTTCCGATCGCGTGTCGTCGCTTCAGAACCGCCGCCCTTCCATATAAATTTTAAACATTACCCATATCATATACATACACGATCCGCCATGTAATAATACGAAATTTTAACAAAAACGAAAACAGACTTCGATAGGAGGAAATGATAATATCATCTATGTAGTGTCGAAGTTTTCTTTTTATTGCTTAGATGGGCGAACGAGCTCATAGCCCACCTGGTGTTAAGTGGTTACTGGAGCCCATAGACATCTACAACGTAAATGCGTCACCCACCTTGAGATATAAGTTCTAAGATAGAACCACCGAAGTCAACAAAATGTGTATTATTGGGGATAGCTCGAAAACTACTGGTTATATCTTGATAGATATGTCCCCAAAAGAGACACAATAGTTATCGATTATAAAAGAATTATCAAAATCGATTCATTTGGAAAAAATCTGTGGTAACAACCAATAAAAACAGTGCAGTCAAATTGAACCTACCTCATTTCTTGGAGGCATTTAAAAATAAAATACACGTATAAAAATTAGTAAGAAAAATGTAGACTCACCCAGCATTCGTTTTTCTGTATAAGTCGTTTGCAAACTTTAAGAATGAACTTTAATATTTATGTCTCCAAAGTAAATTGGATTTAATTCGAAATAATTTCATATTACTGGTATATACCTAACAGTTCGCAAATGAAAAATGAAAGCACGTTTAGAATAGTTAACTAGGTTTTTTTTTTATTTATTGCTTAGATGGGTGGACGAGCTCACAGCCCAACTGGTGTTAAATGGTTACTGGAGTCCATAGACATCTACAACGTAAATGCCGCCACCCATCTTGAGATATGAGTTCTAAGGTCTCAAGTACAGTTTAAGGGCTGACCCGCCCTTCAAATCGAAACAAATTTATGCTTCACGACAGAAATAGGCAGGGTGGTAGTACCTACCCGTGCGGACTCACAGAGGTCCTACCTCTAGTACACCAATGATAATTACATTACAGATGCATAGACAATATTATACAGGGATATTTCGTCCACTTTAGGTGTCTTCGATAAACCGTGTTCTCCGCAACCTGGCTGCCCAGAAGGAGAAGACCAGCAGTCAACCTACATCAGACTGTTCTGCTCCCGTCTACGAGCGTCTCCGTCTCCTCGGGACTCCTACCACTCCGGCGTGGCCTCGAGCACCATGGCCAACACAAATAGACACTAGAACTCCGCCTTATCAACTACACAGCTTGAGCCCTGGTCCTCAGACGATAGGCTGCAACGGAGGCGATATGACAGCCATCAAGAAAAGTAAGTACCTATATCTATACTAATAATTATAATTATGATATAATATCATAAAGAGGAAAGATTTGTTTGTTTGTTTGTATAGAATAGGCTGGAATAGGAAGCTACTGAACCGATTTGAAAAATTCTTTCACTGTTTGGAAGCTACACTATTCCCGAGTGACATAGGCTATAATCTTTTTAAAAAAATATTGGGGTTCCTTACTAAAACTCCAATAATGTAACCCAAGGTGTAAAAAATTTACCTAAAATATTCTTTACATCGCGTGCCCTGCGAAAATTATTGATGATAGAATAAAATAATGTACTACGACTTCGTAGAACATATTGTTATTTACAAAAAATGTTGGGACAGCATATGTCTAACTATTATAGTTATGCCGCAATAAGTGTTCTTTTATTTAAATAATAAAACAACGTCTACTATCGTTGAAATTTTTGTTAAAGACCCGAGCGGAGCCGTAGCGAGCCGCTAGTGCTCTATAAATCACAAAGATCTAACTTTAAAATACTTTTATTGCATAATTAACATTTGTTGCATAATATCGATAGAACAAAAGAATTGCAACGGAATTAAGCATATGAATCGTATTATAAAACAACAACGAAAAAGTACAATGAACTCTTCTAACAAAACAACAGAAGTTTAGTCAGACAATACATTTATAACTGCATGTGCATGCGGTGCGCAAAAACCACAAATTAATAAACAAAAATAAAATAAATAGAAACATCGGGAAAATAGGCAGAAATCCGCAACAGCCGGTCACACCAGCGGGGAAACAAAACTTTTTTCACCAGCGTTTTGATAGTCGATTTGCGGCTCCCCTCTTCGGGAGGCAAAGGGGGGAACCGGGAGGCAGCCTACGGTACCGTCAAAAACATTACTCTGCCCATCCGCTTGGAAGATTTAATTTTCATTTTTATCTCAAACATCCCCCTTTGTAGTGGTCTGTATTCTGTATCCAATTAGGTGGCTTTGTGAATTTTTTTGGAACTCCCACATAGCCGAGTCTTTCGAGTTATGGAATTTTAGTAATTTCGATCTTTAAGGAAAATTTTTGATGGTGATCCCTTTGCTTTTTGATATGCATAAAAGAAAAAAGTTTCTTAATCAAAATATTTATGTTTGAAGTCGCATCAAATTCTTTTCCTGGTAACATTAAAACCTATTTTGTTTTAACGATTTCCCGCTCAATTCCGTTCATAATTTCTAACCTTAAAATATTATTTATGGTACGTATAAAAGTTCTCAAAGATACTATAAAGTACAAGACAGTATTGAGTCTGGTCCATCAATACATACACAATGTTCTAGAATGTTTTATTAATTCAGCCCTTGAATGTGTTGTCACACTTGTGAAAATTACAGAAAAAGCGAATAATGTCGCGCGCTGAATCTTTGCAAGAATCTCACAAACTATTTGTTCAAATACAGTTATTGCGTAGCAGAATGTTTACATTGTATACTATGGCTAGTTGAGCTATTTATGTACAGCCATGCTATCTGCTTACACCCGTTTGTAACCACTTTCACGCCAGCTTGACGCGTTCGCCAAGCACGGATCATATTACAATCCTACTGGAAGATTCTTTTTAGAAAAATAATCATTTTGATTATAATTGTAACCAAAAGTAATTGACTTATTTTTAATGTTAAACTATTTTCATTATTAAATATACAAATTCTGGTGGCGTTTTAAAGATTATTTCTAGTATTACAGTACGATCAACTTAAGAAAGATCGCACACATATGATCACAAACAATGAATGTATTTCACACATCTAGGGAGTCTCGGAACGTGATGAAATTAAAAGCGTACACAATATCTTTCGAACGCGTTAGCGGTACAATAATGATCTATATCATTTTACTGTAATTTTAATTAAAATGTATTAATAAATATAATTAAAAAAAAATACTGTTCTCTTAGGCTGTTATTACTTTAGTAACACAGCTTGTGACAGGTCATAAGGTAATGTATTCAGAAATGTTAGTAAATTAAAAAAAAAAACTGAGAAATATGTATTTTTATTTTTCTGTTTTTTTATTCCATTTAAACTAAAACCGCGAGAACAATTCGCAGCGGTTTATTAAATTAACGAGATTTAGTTTACTCGGTTCTGAGCGCGCAATATGTCAAAACAATATAGCCTGTGGGCACACTTTGATACAAGCAAACAATTTTGTTTCGAATGCTCTGTTGGAGCATTGTACACGACACTTCTCTGAGTTGTATCTTTTGAGCATTAAAAAATTAAATGATAGTCTTATTTTAAATCGAATAATCTATATATTAATACGTGAAGCAAAAACTTTGTATCCCTTTTTACGAAAATTGCGCGGACGGAGGAGTATGAAATTTTCCACACTTATACAGAATATAGAGAAGAAGTGCACAATGCTAATTTTTTTTTTAAATAATGCATAAAAGATACATTAAATCAATAAAGAAAACATTACACACACTACATACCATGTATTTGACGCACACACGCATGCATACTATTTATTGTCAAACTTTTGTTCTTGACGTCTGTGGTCAAATTGAGAATAGATTAAATATTGTTTGTCTTTATTAATATTTTTTATAGTGTAGCCTTGACGAAATTTGTGATTATAGAAGTATAAAATACAATCATAATAGTGTACAAACTTACAACTCCAATTATAGTCGAATTCGCTAATAGCTATAATTACGTAATAATGGGTTTCGGTTACGCGTCACTATGACCATCATTAAATAATATACCCACTGAGTTTTTCGCCGGATCTACCCAGTGAGTCGCGATTCCGATCCAGTAGTAGATTCGGCGAAGCACTGCTCTTGCTAGGGCTAATGCCCAATTCTTTCAAGTTGAGCCTGTGAGCTCACCTACCAGTCCACGCGAGGTTGGTATAGCCTTGAGCTACCAACGATTAGGCAGGGGAAAAAATTTGAGTAATGAAAAGAAAATCAATTTTCGAATAAAACATAATACAGCCAGATACTTTCGATGAAGTGTCAAAAACTATAACGTTTCAACAAGAAAACTTTAAATAAATCTGATAAATTTATCGATTACATAGAACACGAACAAAAAAAAAACAATTGAATGCTACCATTTTAAATAACTGATGGAAAGTAGTACTCTAGTCTAGAAGTTTACTAGTAACTCTGCCTGTTCCTAACACAAAGTAGGTAATAGGTACCAACAGCGTATGAAGAGTATATCGGTAGCTAAAAAATACCGATATTTGATGTTATGGAAATTGGTATGTTCATTCTCAAAATGAACGACCGTATTCACGTTATTGTCTATGGCTCTAGACACTATTTGAAATGATAGCAATCAATAATGTTTACTACATTAGCTACAATCGTTATTTTTTAGTGAATGTGCTTCATTTTATGTATTCTTTATAATTCGCATACAATAGCAGGTTGGTGAAAGAAGATTTTTGTCAATTACCACACATTAATTAGAAAAAATGTTTATTTTTATTATTGTTATTGTGTATTGTATCAATAAGTAAATTAATTAGATTGTACTCATCTACCCACTCATGTAAAGTTTTCCTTCCTTAAGAACGGTTAGCTGGTAGATAACTCAATTGTTGAGTTAAGTTCGCCATTTTTTATATCTTATCGCAATTACTGTATTATATTAACTGTGTGTACAAATAAAGAATGTAACAGCTTAAAACAGATTTTAAGATATTCTTCATATCTTAAAACAAAATTGTTTATCTACAAAAATTTAATACTAGAATAACTAAAAGCAATACTATATACAATAGAACGTTGATTTCACTCAACACGGGTTCAACTAAAATCGAACGCGGAACTCCGTAGTCCATTAACGAGGTCAATACGACCACAAAACTCGCAAGGAATTCCCTAACGAAAACTACTAACATTCTTAGCACCGGAGACAAACAGACAAGGTCAAAGAACGGAAAGAAAAAGCCATTACGGGGGCGAAAACTAAATAAAACGCACCGAAGGGTGGGAATACAGCGCGATAAAATGCTGCAGAGGAGAAATGCAACTATACCACGACCTTTAAGAGAGAAAGGGATGTCACACCGTCTGGACGCCCAAGATAAGCTGAAGAAAAATGTCTCTTAGATATTTATTCCCGGGGCTCTCGGATAAATAGTTATTATGGGGTTCAGTAGTAGTAAATTAGTGAGATGTATGGCGGTACCGTTGAATATTTATTTATAGGACGCGTGAGTTATTGTGGCATTTCGTCGCCTTGAGGTTCCGGGGGAAATGAAGTGATTCATCGCTGGAAATGGTGTTTGATACAGTTGCGGTCGTTGCAGTAAATCGTTATAGTCGTCACAAGATAAACGAAAATTTCCTAATAAAATATATGTATAAGCTAAATAGCAAAGAAAATAATAATTGTTACGTATTTCAATGAATTTTTTTTCACTGAAAATATTTACGACACGCAATTTAATTTCTAAATGCAAAGGCTTAACGACTTAAAACAATCAATACAATTTAAAATGCAATTAATTTTTAGAACAGTCTTAAACATGCCCATATTGCAAATTTGCTAAACTAAATCTATGATTGCTAAGCTAAATCTATAATTTGACTATTAAAAACAGGTAAATTGAATTAAAATTTTACTCCCATAAACAAACACTTGCTTATTTTCACGGGACGGTTAAAATATTGGTGCCTAAAATATAACAATATAATACATGAACATTTGCGGTACCTATGCGGTAATTGAATAAAGAAAATTTAATTAAGTAAATAGAAATGCTTTAACAAAAACCGACTTCAAATAGGAAAAAATATATTCCAAAACAAATTAATATACACTAAAAACAATAATCATCGAAATCGGTTGGCGTGATGTTGAGCTATTGAGTTATTCATCTATTTGTCGCGCATGTATTTAATGCAAATTTAAGACTTATATGATTTTCTCATGGATACCATTATCAGAACTGGACTAAATTGAAATGGGACCACACGGGAAGCGTCAGCTTTCTAAT